TTTGAAAACCCGAGCAGGCCGACTGGGTGGGGAGGCGGGTCGAGCCGCCTCTGCGAAGTAGCAGGTGCAAACTCTGGCGTCGCAAATGATGAAGCTGGCCGTTACGTTTTGCGACAAAAAACTCCTAGAAGCCGTGGGGGCTCGCGTCGCCACGTGAGCATCCCACACTGCTGGAGCTGAATCAAAAAGTCTCTATACCAGGAGGGGGGGCGAAGGGAAGGGTCAACGTAGGGGCCGTTCGTGCAGATCGAACGGCGCTTGTCATTTGCTACATCAACTGGCAAAAGCAAATTACCACGCCAAGACCTCAGCCAATCACGATCGACCTGGGACAGACAAGACTCCACAGGGGCGGGGCTGGATCCGACCTCAGGCCAAGCCACGAGGTGGCGTGCATAAGGCTTTCGGGTAGAGCTATCAGGGTAGATTGCCGACCCGGCAAGAAGCTCGCGGAGGGCTTCCTTGCTGCTCAAATCTGCCGGCTGGGTGCCCACCTGCTTGAAACAGTTCAAGACGTGGCGGTGCGCGAAGCGCTGAGACGAGTTGAGGGGGGAGGCAAGAGGCCAGGAGGACTGGAACAAGAGGCTTGCGGGAACCCATACAGCTGGCTGAGGCAGCTGATGGCGGAGTCCGCCCAGTCCAACACGTGCGCGCGGCGGTGCTCCCTCTGCTTAACTGCGTAGCAAGCGCGGGCAGGACAAAAAACTTCCGTCCGTCTCGACAGCAGAGGCAGCGGGAACAGGTCTCTCTGGCGGTCGGCTTTCTGCGGCGCCGCCGCCGAAGACGAAAAGAGTGGAGGGTAGAGCCGGCGCTGTTCGGCTCGGTTAGCAGTCCAGGGCACCCCCTCCGAAGCGCCTGGCCGCGCTCTGGATCATGCGTCATTGGTCGTCTTGCCCTGGCGGGCAGTTTCTAGTTCTTCTCTAGCCTTACGTCGTTCCTTCAGCAGGGCGTGCTCGCGGGAGAGCTCCGCGGCCACCCACTTGGTGAGATCGGGGCACACGCACACCCCGGCTCGAACTATGATCACTCCGTAGTAGAGGTGAGCGTCGCCGACAGCGTCCTCCTTGTGGCCGCTGAGCCGCTCCGTCCAGCGCTCCTCCTAGACCTGAAGTGAGCGGGCCAGGTGCTCTGCTGTCGCACAGTTGGGCAGGTTCGTCTGGTCGTAGCACGCCATCTCGAACTGGATCGGTGCCAACTTCAGGTCGGAGTAGCCTCCGAGCCCGCCTGCACCCGCGACTGGCGCGGCAACGCCGAGCGCCCCGCCTGCCGCGGCACCTGCGGCAAGAGCTGGGGCGGCTGCCGCCGCCGCCGCGCCAGCCAGGGCGGGTGCGCCCACGCCTCCTGCCGGGGCACCCAGGGCGGCCGCGCCTGCGGCGCCCGTGCCGCCGTCGGGGGCTGGCCCAGCCGCGGCCAGGGCGGCGGGCAGCGCCAGCGCTCCCGCAAGCACCGGCTGCGCTGCACCGCCGAGGGCGGCAACGAGCCCGCCAAGCCCCGCGGCGGGGGCGAAGGCTCCGGCGCCGGCCCCATCGCCGCCTGCGGGGGCGCCCGGGACAGCCGCAGCCGCCCCTGCGGCCGCGCCCGCCGGGCCCAAGCCCCCTCTCCCGACAGCGTTGGGGAGGAGCTGGCTGGGCGGCGCGGCAACGCCGTGCCTCGCGCAGGCTGCGACTCGGGCGGCAGTGGCAGTCGCGGCTGTCGGGATGGCCCGAGAGGGCGCGCCGCTGGATCACCCAAAGGGGGGGGGGGTTCGAACCCCCCCCCCCCCCCCCCCTTGCCCGAGCCGTGGTCGGCGAACCCCCCCCCCCCCCTCCCCCCCTGCCCGAGCCGTCGTCGGCGAAACCCCCCCCCCCCCCCCCCTTGCCCGAGCCGTCGTCGGCGAAACCCCCCCCCCCCCCCCCCTTTCCCGAACCGTCGTCGGCGAACCCCCCCCCCCCCCTTTCCCCGGCTCGCGCCCCGGCTCCGGAACCCCATCCCTACCACTCCCGCCCCGACCCCCCCGAACCCCTAACCTCTAACCCAAACCCTGAACCCTAATCCTCAATCCCTAACCCGAAGCCTAAACCCTAACCGTAGACCTAACCCTGACCCCAAACCCTAACACTAAGCCTAGCCCTAACCTAAGCTCTAAACCTGAACCCTTAACCCTAACCCTCAACCCTATCCCTACACCCTAACCCCAACCCTACCCCTCACCCTAAACCCTAAACCCTAACCCTAACCCTAAACCCTAACCTCAACCCCAACCCTGACCCTAAACCCTAAACCCTAGCCCTAAACTCTAAAACCCCCTAACCCTAAACCCTAACCCTAACCCTAAACCCTAACCCCCAAAACCCTACACCCTAAACCCTGACCCTAAACCCTAACCCTAACCCTAACCCCTACACCCTAATCCTTAACCCTAACCCTAACCCTAAACTCTAGCCCTAACCCTAACCCTAAACCTTAACCGTAACCCTAAACCCTATGACCTAACCCTAAACCTTAACCCTAACCCTAAACCCTGAACCCTAAACCTTAACCCTAAACCCGAACCCGAACCCTAACCCTAAACCCTCACCCTAACCCTAAACCTTAACCCTCAACACAAACCATACCCCTAACACTAAACCCTAACCCTAACCCTCAACCCTAAACCCTAACCCTAACCCTAACCCTAAACCCTAACCCTAACCCTAACCCTAACCCTAACCCCTAACCCTAACCCCAAACCCTAAACCCTAAACCCTAAACCCTAAACCCTAAACCCTAAACCCTAAACCCTAAACCCTAAACCCTAAACCCTAAACCCTAAACCCTAAACCCTAAAACCCTAAACCCTAAACCCTAAACCCTAAACCCTAAACCCTAAACCCTAAACCCTAAACCCTAAACCCTAAACCCTAAACCCTAAACCCTAAACCCTAAACCCTAAACCCTAAACCCTAAACCCTAAACCCTAAACCCTAAACCCTAAACCCTAAACCCTAAACCCTAAACCCTAAACCCTAAACCCTAAACCCTAAACCCTAAACCCTAAACCCTAAACCCTAAACCCTAAACCCTAAACCCTAAACCCTAAACCCTAAACCCTAAACCCTAAACCCTAAACCCTAAACCCTAAACCCTAAACCCTAAACCCTAAACCCTAAACCCTAAACCCTAAACCCTAAACCCTAAACCCTAAACCCTAAACCCTAAACCCTAAACCCTAAACCCTAAACCCTAAACCCTAAACCCTAAACCCTAAACCCTAAACCCTAAACCCTAAACCCTAAACCCTAAACCCTAAACCCTAAACCCTAAACCCTAAACCCTAAACCCTAAACCCTAAACCCTAAACCCTAAGCCCTAACCCCTAACCCTAACCCTAAACCCTAAACCTCGCTCGCCTCGCGCGCAGACTGTTGGACGTAGGGGCCGTCGGGGGCAGGACTCTGAAAGCTTTGCGGGTGTGCGGGCGGGCCCGAGCGCTCGCACCGGACCCCTGCGGAAAGGGGGGGAGGGGGGGGGGGGGTTCCGAACCCCCCCCCCCTTCAAGGGGGGGGGGGGGGGAGGGGTTCCGAACCCCCCCCCCTTTCAAAACCCCCCCCCCCCTTAAAGGGGTGGAGGGGGGGGGGGGGGTTCTCGGACCCCCCCCCCCCTTAAGGGGGGAGGGGGGGGGGGGGGGGTCCCTGGAGCACACCCCCCCTTTTGTGTCTTCCAGGTGATCCACTGGCGCTCTTTCCCCGAAACTTGTACAAGGGATCGGCCCCGACGCCCGCTGGAACGCCTCCTGCCGCCGCGCCGGGCGCCACCTGCACCTCAACGATGGCTGGCCCGTTGAAGTCCTCGCAGTACTCGTCCCCATCTGGGGTGACTATGGACGCTGAATGCCCGGCGTTGCTCACAAGCAGGATGACCAGACGTTCGTGCCAGAGCCGCTGGGCGTAATTGTAGCGTACATACACAAAATCGCCAGCCGCCAGGCCGTGGGTCAGCGCGGCTGGGTGGGCCGCCATCCCGCCTAGCGGCGAGCCTGGGCTGCAGCTGCTGGCTTGCGCGCCTGCCGCCTCGCCTCCTCAGCCACGTCCTCGAGGCAGCCCAGCACGAAGACGATGGAGATGCCCTCCTGGTGGAAGGCGCTGTTCGGCGAGAACTCCAGGCTAGGGCACTGGAGGTGGGGAGCGCACAGGCACTCCGGGCAGCTGGGGCACTCCAGCGTCGGGCAGAGGCCGCGGGTCACCACCGGCTCGCAAGCGGGGCACTGCTGAGAGCCGCCTCGCACAATGAGCGCAGTGGAAGCCCCGCGGGCGATCTCAGCCCCTGCACGCGCGAGGAACAGATGTATCGACGGTGTGTGACCCGAAGAGCTTGAGCCGTAACAACGTACGGCAGAGAACAGACATTGCAAGCATACAGTCGTGAAGACAACCATAAATATATAAACATAAGTATATTATATATATACATTAACACATATTTCCACATATGATATACACAGATACATGCCTGTTGCACACACTTAGGTTGATACGCACACACAAACATATAGAGAGAGAGTGTACCACAGACACGACACATCGAGAGTGCAAGAAGAAACCACTTTGGGGGTGTCCACGCTGGCAAACATCCCATTGGGGTGCAATTGGAACTAGCATGGGAAGAGTAGGGGCCTGAACGAGCCCCAGGGCAGAAAATGCTTGAGGTGACCAGCGCTAGAACAAGTGTTTTGAAGGGCCCCGACCAGCTGTCCTGTATTGCCGGCTGTCGCTCCCCGCTTGATGTCTCCCCTCCGACCTTCTCGCCCGCCTGCTGCGTTCGGAGCCCGCCTGCGACGACGGCGCAGAAGGCGGTGGCGGCGGCGCCGACGGCCGACGCAGGTGGCGGCGCATGCGACGACGGCGGCGGCGACGGCGGCGACGGCAGCCAACGGCCGCCCACGGCAGCGGCGGCGGCGGAGGCGACGGCCTCGCGGCGGCAGCGGTCGCCCAAAGGTGGCGGCGGCGGCCAGCGGCGGCGGCAGCAGCCCGCGCGCCGCCCGCCTTCATGGGCACGACGCTCGCGCGCAGCGCGCCCGACGGGGCGTCGGCGGAGGCCGCCAGGAGGCTCGCGGCGGTGGCCACTTCCCTGGGGGCTGGTCGCCATCGCCGGTCGTCGCCGCCGCTGGCCGCGGCCGGCGGCGGCCGTCGGCGGCCGTCGGCTGCCGTCGGCAGCCCGCGGCGGCCGTCAGGCGCCCCGTGGCGGCCTTCAGCAGCCGTCGGCGGTCATCGGCGGCCCCTTCAGCGGCCGCCGGCGGCGGCCGGCGGTCGTCCGAAGGCGGCGCGGACCACGCGCCAGCGGGTCTCGTCGACCTCGCTGTCGCCGTCGAGGTCGACGAGGTCGAGGATCGAGGAGAAGAGGTTCGAGAGTCGAGGATGGAGGCACGTGTTGGTGTCGATTGTGATTTCTGGGCCTCTGCGCAATGCGCCTGCCACGCCCTCCTGGGCCTGGCAGTCCTTGAACTGTTACAATCCCGTGCTCCTGCAATAGCGTCATGCCGTCATGCTAGCGTCCATGGAGTTTGATGTGCCAAGTCTTGGGGAAACTCCAGAAAAGATGGGGCCGTCTTGGCGCCGTCTTGAGGCGGACTTGGAGGCCAGCTGGGACATCTAGGGCCCTCTCGGGGTCGTCTCGGGCTATCTTGGAGACTTTTTGTGCTTCCTTGGGGCCCTCTTGGAGCCTTCTTGGGGCCATCTCGGGGCCCTCTGAAGCGCTCTTGGGGGTTCTGGGAGCTTCTTAATGCCATCTTGACATCACTTGGGGGGTTGCCTTGGAGACAGTTGGGGGAGGGTCTTGAGGCTGTCTGTTGAGATTTGCCATGGGCCGATCTTGGGCCGTCTTGGAGCCGTCTTGGCGGCCGGCGGAAGGGCGCTGCTTATGGTCGGAACAGTGGTCACGGACGAAAGACGTCGCAAAACCAGAGATTTGTTCACAGCCATTATTTTGGCTGCATCTTCGCTGTGAAGAGATCCGCAGGAGGCATGTAAACAACTATCGATACACCAAAACCGTGAATGGCCAGAGCCATGATGAGCCTTGGCACGGTGTACGCCTCGTAGCCGAGGCCAGGAGGGTCAAAACACCTCCCTTCGGGCGTGGACCAAGCTGGCTCAGCGCCAACCTGGCTCAGCCAATTTAGAAAAAACTGCTCTGCACCTTCGGGGGGGGAGCTTCCCAAACCTGTCTCGGCCAATATGCCAGGCCACCACCACGGCCACGCCCAGCTCCCAGACCCCGCTCGGCCCAAAGCCGGCCACGAAGGATGCTGCAGGATCCTGCGCCCTGGCTTGGCCCCGTCCGCGAACCCCGTGACAGGCTGGCTGAGTCCCAGGCAAGCAAGGCCAGACACGACGACCACGACCCGCAGCGCGGCGGCGGCGGCCCCCGAAAAGCGGCCGCGGGGTCGGTGGCAACTCGTGGGAGCCTCCCATACCATCTGGTCGGAGCTTGCGAATCGGCGCCAAGTCGGCGCGAATCGGCGCCAAATCGACGCCGATCGACGCTCACCGACGCTAAATCGGCGCTATCTCATCGGCTCCCAGGCGCTGACCCAGAGATCCGACGTCGTGAGTTTTTCGATACGGGGCCCCTGGCAGTCCCGCCACCCCTTTTCCCGGGACGGGTTCTCCATCCTGAGCCGTCTTTATGACAGACCCGGGGCCCAGCGAGGGCCTGTAGAAGCCGAAAAGGGAGAAAAACCTCCGTCTTGATTTTTGTCAGTGCGCTGGATCTCCAGTAATCGACACAAATCGACGCAAGCCGCACGCCGAATGCCCAATATCGGAGCGGGTCGGCGACGCAAGAGATTCGGAACAAAGAAAAACCGAACAACTTCGAAATCTGATATGTTTTGTTTCGGAGGGAGAAACGCCCCCTCCCCCCCCAAAAAAAAAACGCTGCACCAATCCGCTTGGGGGGCGCAGCTTCATGATTTCTGTCAATGCGCTGGATCTCCATAGGGGAACAAAAAGTGTCATAGACATAAAAACTCGGAAGTCCGCGCAGACTTCTCGGATCGGCACTGGGACCCCCTGGCGGCGCGCTCCGCGCGCCAGGGAGGGGGGTCCAGCGCCGATCCGAGAAATCTGCGCGAACCTTCGAGTTTTTATGTTTGTGCCACTTTTTGTTCCCCTACTCCAGGAATCGACACAAGTCGGCACTGGAGGCAAAACTGCGAGGACACACGGGGCCCCCGTGAGTTGCCGCCGACGGCCGGGGGCGGCGCGCCGTCCTAGCCGCCAGCTGCTCCGCCGCGGCCTCCCCCGACCAGGCACGGAGGCTCCCCGCCCTCCCTCCTCCCTCTCCTGCTCCCTCCCCCCTCCCCCCTCCCTCCTCCCTCCCCTCCTCTCCTCCCTCCTCCTCCCCCCTCCCCCTCCTCTCCCCCCTCCCTCCTCCCTCCTCCCTCCTCCCTCCTCCTCTCCCTCCTCCCTCCCCCTCCTCTCCCCCCTCCCTCCTCCCTCCTCCCTCCTCCCTCCTCCCTCCTCTGCCCCCTCCCTCTCTCCCTCCCACGGCTCCCGAGCACGGCGCCGAGAGGCGCGAGGGGGCAAGGCCAGGGGCGAACATCGACGGCGTCGCCCTCGGAGGCTCCCGGCTTCGGGGGCTCTCGGAAGCCTTCGGAGGCCCTCGAGAGGCCCTCGGAGGCCCTCGGAGGCCCTCGGGCGCTCTCAAGAAGCCTGCGGGGGGGCCCTCGGAAGCATTCGGTGTCTTCCCAAAAGCCTTCGGAGGCCTTCGGAGGCTTTCAAGATGCCTTCGGGAGCTTTGGAGAAACCTTCGCGCTTTGTGCCCCAAGTTCTCTGGCCGACCTCGGACCCCCTCCTCCTCGCTCCTCCTAGCTCCTAGCTCCTCCGACCCCTGCCTCTCCTCCTCCTCCCCCCTCCAAGTCCCATTGGACGGGGCTTACGCACCGCCAGCACCCGAGCCATGCCAAAGGGCCTGTCAAGGTGCTTGTGGATCCCGCTGCCACCTACGTATGCTGAGCGTTCGGCTCACGTCGCTGGTGGTGGCCTTGGGAAGGACACATATTCATACCATGTGCTGGTCCTCCTCCCCTCCCCATCCCCTCTCGGTGCCTCGATGCTGGGATGGGTGTCTATCCAGACGATACCCTCCCCGGCGGCCAATGCCGCCAGGGAGGGACAGTCACCGTGCCTTGTGCACGTTGGGGCGCAGTAGAATGCTCCTCCTCTCTTGACTGATAAGATCTCTTGAGTGTTTCCGGAGGCCGACCCCATCCCCTCGTCGCGACCACCCTTCGAAAACAGCCTCCCCTCGCCAAAGCCGAGCTTGGGTCATCCCCGAAAAAAACTAATCGGACAAGAACGGGAAGCGCCGCTGTAGTCTAATGGGCGTATTGGGCGAAGAAGAACAGGAAGGCGAGGACAACGAGGAGTCGATGACGAGGACGACGTGGCGAACGTGAGGATAGCGAGGAGGAGCATGAGGACAACGAGGAGGAAGAGAAGCACAAGGACGAGGACAAAGAGAACGAGGGCGAGTACGAGGAGGAATGCGGAGGGCGATGATGACGACGACGACGACGACGACGACGACGACGACGACGACTACGACGAAAGACGTTGCTCCTGGCGCCGCGCGGGGTTCTCTTGGGGCCTGTTGGGGGTTTCTTGGGGGCCCCTTGGGTCCTCTTATGGGCTTCTGGGGTCTTCTTGGGCTGTCTGGGCGCGTCGTGGGGTTCTGTGGGAGCTTTCTTAGGTCGTCTCGGCGCTGGGGGCCTCCTGGGGCGCTCCCGAGTCTCTTGGGACCTTCTTGGTCCTTCTCGGGCCGTCTTGGGGTTCTTGTGAGCTGTCTGGGTGGCTCCTAGGGCGCTCTTGAGGGTCTCTTGGGGTCTTCTTGGGGCGCTCTTGAGCGCTCCTGGGGCTCTCCGGGGCGTCTTTTGGGCCTCCCTTGGGCCGTTGGAAAGCCCTCCAAGAGCGATTCGACCACGACGTCGAAGCGAAACGGCAATTTTTCAAAAATCCGCCAGCGCAGTTTCAAAGTGCAGCGCGTAACCGATTCTCAATTTTTACCACCAACAAACGGTCCACGCCAGGGGCGCTTCCTGGCTGCTGCTGCCAAGTGCTTCTTTCAAGGGCCTGGACCACCAATTTCCCGGGCGCTTCTGGGCGCTCCTGGGGTGTTCCGCATGGGCCTCCGGGACGGTTGCAACGCCCCAAACGACCTGGAGAACTTCGCGGAGCCCCCCACCAAGCGCCCAAGACGGTCAAGGAGTGCCTCTGGACGGCCCAAGAGGCCTCGAAGACGCTCCAAGAGGCCCACACGAGGGCCCGCAAATGCAAAAATCGCCCCGTTCCCCTCAAGAGAACGTATATTTTCAGCACATTCGCCCCTTGGGCTTTCACAACGTCCTAGACGGCACCAGAGGCCCCCAAGATCGCCCAAAGACTGCCCAAGAGGCCCCCAAGAGAGCTCCAAGACCGCCCAGGGGGGCCCCAAGACGGCCCAAGAAGCCCCCAAGACAGCCCCAGGACGGCCCCAAGAGGAGGCCCACAGGGGGGACCCGAATGGACGTTCGGGCCTTCGCAACGCCGAAGTGCAGCAGCGTAGCCCTCGTCCTCAGCGTCCTGACCGACGACGTACGCTCAGATGCGGTCCGCAACCTTGGGCCAGCCAGCCTCGTCGCCTGCCACGCAACGGATCCTGGCCTCCGCGTGTGTCCTCGGACGCCGACTTCTGCGAAGGCCCAGAGCACCCGGTGCAGGTCCGCCGCTCCGAGGGCGGGGCTGCCCAGCGCCGGGCGGGTGGCCCTGAGCCCCCGTGCGATCCACAGCCGCTCGCCCTCTGCTTGGCCCTGGGCGCTCGGCCAGCGCTCCGCGCGCTGCTCGGGCGGGCCACCACTTCGCTCACGCCACCGCCCGTCGCGTCAGCGCCTGCGCCGCGCAGGCTCCAGCCCCGCGCTGCGCGCAGCCGCCGCGGTCCCCACCACCGGGCGGCCCTCGGCGCGGGCCCTCGGCCCGCCAGCGGCAGCCAGCTGCTCCTGGGCAGCCCGTCGCACACGCCCGTCGGCTCCAGGGGCGGGGCCTGGGGCTCCCTCCAGGGCGACGTGGTGCGCGCCCCGTGGCGGGGTGGGCCTCCGCCCAGCTCCCGCGAGAAACCTGAGCCAGCAGCGAGCACAAATGACTGCAGAGCGGAGCAGGCCCCAAAAAACAAGCCGATGTTCGGGCCACGGGGGCGGCACATGGCAAAGAGAGCAGGGCCCGCACGGGCTCAGACAGCTACGACTGCCTGCAAAGTTCCTAGGAGCTCCTTCTGGCTCGAAGCTGACATCCTCGGACCCTACCCACTGTACACCTCACATCAAAACCCACTCTTAAGCTCAGCAACCCATCATCATCATCATCAGCATCATCAGCATCATCATCATCATCATCATCACCACCACCACCATCATCATCATCATCATCATCATCATCATCAGCATCAGCATCAGCATCAGCATCATAATCAGCATCAGCATCAGCATCAGCATCAGCATCAGC